CAGGGACCGAAATCAATACTAAGCTTTTAGGAAATATTCTCTATCTTCAAATAACAGGTGCATATAGTAAACAGAAAGAATAGCAATAATTCCACGTACGAATCACTTATGATGTAATAAACTATTTGCGTTATACTGCACTACGTTTAGTTTTTTCCACGTCACCCACAGACAGACTACCCAGGACCGTAATAATAAACGGGAGGAGAATTTGAACACGTTATCACGCATGTTATCACGTTAATTGTGCCGAGATCTGTAGAGATAATTTGTTGCGATGACAGCCACAAAGGAGTTTACACAATACCTTGTCATTATATCCCAAGTAGAGCAGCTCAAGTCGACATAAGTATCGGAACATAACATAACGTAACATATCACTGTCGGAATTCTCTCTGGAGATTTACTACCATCTTTTACATAATGAGGCTACAGTTGTAATATCTATAGTCTTCCAAGCTCCTCCACCCGATCTGCTGATCTGTACAACTGGTGAGCTGTTATACCGCTCTTAAGTGTTCGTTACAACGATTCAGTCAGTTGATCTCGCTTGCTGACAGTTTTCCTCCTCCTTCTCATCCTTCTCCTCCATGTTCTTATTTGTTTTAGTCTTCTTCTTCTCCTTCCTCCTCGTCCTCCTCCCCTTCTTCGTCTTCTTACATAGAACGTCAAATGTCCTTGAAAAAATCAAAATCAGGAGGATGGGTGAGTGGGTGGTTAGATGGATGGGTCGGTGGATTCCCCGTACATTACGTAATTTATTTTAAAATTAACTGTAGGAAACAGCGTGGAAGATACGCACACCTCACGCCTGCTTGAGGTGTGACGGATTTGAATGAGAACTGTACTGAAGCGAACACAGACGGCCCATTCGCCTGTATTTCGAAGAATTAATTTTATATAAAGCACATTTATCACTGAGCTGTATTTATTAACAGTATTATTTATAGCATTACATGCGCAATGCGTTTATCATTACTCTATATGTTACCTGTAATCGTGGCGCTTGTAGGCGATAACGGAGAATGAAGGAAACTAGCGAACAAATGATGTCACGTGTCATAGATCTCGCCAGAAAGAAGCCAGTTTCTGTAGAGCTGGTGAGCTGTTATATCGCTCTTAAGTGTTCGTTGCAACGATTCAGTCAGTTGATCTCGCCTGTTGACAGTGGCACAGTGATTGGCTGAAGCACAACTTTTGATGCTCCTCCTCCTCCTCCCTTTCTTCTTTGTCTTATTTTCGTCATCTTCTCATTCCTTCTCCCTTTCTTCTTCTCTTGCTTATTCTTCACCGTTTTATTCTTCCTCCTCCCTCTCCTCCCCTTATTCGTCTTCTTACATAGAACGCCAAATGTCCTTGACAAAGACTTGGGCAATATCCACGTAGCGAAGCTCACTCCTGTACTCGGGATCTGTAAAACAATGATGACGCGGTCAAATAAATCGCACCGTAGTAATGTGTGTAAAGTAGGAAAGTGTGAATATATATATATATATATAT